GGGGGGGGGCTGCGCGACCACCTGACTTGTCGAATAATGAAGTGTGATTGCCAATTTATTTAATAGGGTCCGAATAGGGTCCCAACAACGCCCACACCACCAGCCCACACCAAGGGGCGCGCTTAAACAGTGAGATACCAAACCCTGTATTAGGGGATCTATGTAAAAAGTTTCTGATTTTTACCCTCTCATTTTTATAAATAGGATAAAAATCAGACCAAATTTACATAGATAATCGACAAAAGAAAACAATAAAACAGACACTGCGTTGTTTCAAATGGTAAACACTGGTAAAACAAGGGTTTCATGTTCCACGTCAATTGGTGTTTAAGTTAAGAAGTGTGCATTTTCTCAACACGTTGTATGGTGTCTAACTAGGTTAAACGTCCATCGGCATTTAACCTTTTAACACTTTTGAAAAGTAGCAAACTGCACACCATATGGTTCCTATCAAAATCATAACTTGCACACGTTGGTGTTTAAATTACGCACACTTGTTTTACCAGTGAACATGTCGCTTCGTCTGCCATCGGCCCGCTTTGTAGTGCTTCAGCGACAGCCGCGCCCTGCTGCCGTCCGCAATATTATTCGGGACACCTCATTGTCGGGGAGGGGAGTTATGTAGTGCTTTGTGAGGGGGCCTTGTGCCGGGCGCTGCCGGAGCGGTGTGCGAGCGGGCGGCAAAGTCCTGTCTGCCTGGTGACCTTTCACCGGCAGACACCTGGCACGTCCAACCCACCTGCTTTCCCTATCTCTCTGCTCCCCTTCCCCTCTCTCGACCCCCCCCCTCCCTCTGCTCCCTGCTCCAGCGGCTCCGGCGGGCGCGGAAAATGTGTCGCAACGTGTCGCGCTGCAGCTAAGTGGTAGATTAGGTTCCCGCGCGGCATGAGCGCCGGCAAACACAGCAGCCGTATCTCTCCACCCGTGTCTCTCTCCCTCTCGCACTCTCTCCCTCTCGCTCTCTCTCTCTCTTTCCCTCTCGATCTCTCTCCTTCTCTCCCTTTCTCTCTCGTCCTTCCACCAATTCCCCACCCCACCCCCACCTCCCCTCTCTTTCTCGCCCTGACATCAAAAAACAAGGGACGATGAGATCTCCTAATTTATTCTCTTTCCCCGCTCGGCGACTTGTTTGTAAACTACCCCCCATCCCTTTTCATACCGCCTCGCCAGAAGACAAAAGCCACTGTCGCGGTCTTACAGGTGTGACACTTGACGGTTCGTATTGAATTCCCTCCCGCTACGCTTCAACACCGTCCAATCCCAAAGCAAACCCCCTCATGAGCCAACCTAATCACCATCATACGCCTCTACCCCCTCCTCCTCCCGGTCTCCCCCCTCTCACCCCCAACCTCACCTTAACCTTCCCCTCCCCCTCACCCCCAATCGATATATTCCTGGAGGATGGGGTGGTCCCGCCGGCTGCTGCGGGGGTGAGGGGCAGCAAATGCTGCTGGAGGGGAGGTGGACGGGTATATGGCGTTTTGGGGCTGCACAGCGCGCCAGGGGGTAGGGAGCAGGAGGGGGGGGGGGTGAGAGGGCAATCCGCGACCCAGGACTGGGCCGGATGGAGGCACGCTGGGCGCGCATCCGAGAGCCGTGACCACGGGGCACCGGGTAGGGGGAGGAGGAGGAGGAAGGAAAGGGTGTTTCGAGCTGGAAGTACAGGCTCTATCCATTACGACACAATTTCGGCGCCAAGCCCTGTCCTGTCCCTGTCCGCAAAACAAGGGTAAGACAGACGACCACTGGGGCGATCCACATTGGGGATAAGCCGAATCCTCTCAACACTATTTCCCCTCCTACTGTCAGCTCAAATTCCACCCCTCTTTTCAACCCCACTCCTTTTGAGTAAACTTTGCCCCCACGTGTATGGCACGACGTCTTGAGGTCGAATGACGTATGGGTGATGAATGAGTGGGCATTGGACATCCCTCCTCATTCTCTACCACCACACGCCTGGACACGTGGGGAGGTGGGGAATGAGTGGGGGTACCAGTGTTCGGACCGTGGTCGGCACGTGTTCGGCACGTGCCCGGCAAGTGTCCGGCACGTGCTCGGCACGAATCCGGCACGTGTTCGGCACGTGTTCGGCAAGTGCCTGGCGCATGTTCGGCGCTTGGTCGGCACGTGGATTACACGTGGTGTCACCACCCCCGTTCGTTCACGCTGTCCCCGGCGACCCCAGACCTTCCTCGAGCGCCCCCCTTGCTGACCCCTTTCTGCAAGACAAACTGATGTTGCTCAATAATTCACAGCTATGTGTGGAGAGTGAGGGAGAGAAAGGAAAGGCCGGGGTGGAGGAACAGAGAGAGAGACGAAGAGAGAGGGAGAGAGAATGAGAGAGATGCCTGAGAGTACACAGGGAGTTAGGCCGGGCAAAAACGGGGGGAGGGGGGCAGACAAAGAGAGATGGAGAAAGGGGACAGAAGCAAGAGAAAGGGCGCAGGGGCAGGGCTGCCACATCAACCGGCTTATCCCGAGCAGCTCGAGGACAATCCGCTGGCATTGTACCGTGTAACCAAGCTCCTGATACCCGTGTTTCGGTGAGACGAGGGGCGAATAAAAGCACTTGAACGCGCTCAGCTCGTGATCAGAGACAGCTTTAGACAACAACAGTGAAAAAGTACTGTGCTACATGGATTTAATTTAATTTATTGTTGAGTGGTTCGGGGGTCACATAGTTTGATCCTTTCCTTTGCCCCAGATAAACACTAACACATCCAGCCTAACTGACTCTGCAACTCCTCATGCATAAAAACAATCTGCTACGAGTAATCTGAGTTAATCGATTACTTTGCAATTGTGCTAACCTCTCCGGACGGGGCGGCGGCAATGTGGACACCGGCACGCGGGTTCCCGCGACAGACGTGGCAACACTGCTCGGCTGCCGTAAGGTTGCCGGCCCTGTTCGCGGAGCCGGGGTGTTCAAAAACTGCGACCGGACGTTGAAGACGTCTCTGAATGACGGAGTGGCGAGACTGGGTCACTCCTGGCGCGAGTCACTCCTGGAGTCACTCCCGGAGTCACGCGCGGGGACGGCGGTGGCGGCGGCGGGGGGAGAGCCGGCCGTCAACAAGCAGCTGGAGGTTGGGGGCGCCCTCTTCTTCACGCCTGGAGTCGCTCCGGTGGCTCCTGGAGGTGCTCGGGGAGCTCCTGGGGTTGGTGCGGAGGCGCCTACGGGCGTTGGAGACTCCTGGAGGGGCCTGGAGACTCCTAAAGGGGCCTGGAGGGGCCTGGAGGGGGCGGGGCGCGCCCCGACAGCCGCGCTAGTCACGCCCGGTAGCTCTCGTCACGCGCGAAGCGTCTGTCCTCTGAGCCCGGCACAGCGGCACTGACCGAACGGCGCGGCGCGAGGAGGGTGGCGCCGGGGGTGGCGCCGGGGGGTGGCGCCGGGCGGGG